CTGTCCTGGCCTATTAAAAATAAATAATAAAAATAAAATCAAAATTAGCCGACGGAGTCTAAACGAAAGTTGTAGAGCGTAGTCTCTCCTTCGCGTGGATATAAAGAACGTCAAAAACGGAGTTCGTATGAAGGAGATATGAATTTTCGAAGCTTATTAAATAATTAATAATTAAATTTAATTATAAAATCTTGCTTTATCCGAAGACGAGTCGCCAGACTCATCCGGAGTACGCCCCGCCTACAGCAAGAAATGTTGACACTTCGGATGACGCATGCAATGACGACTTCGGAGCCATGTACGCCCCACGTACAGGCGTACGCCCCGCGTACGAGGAGGTTCCTGCCTCCTATAAATAGGATGTGAGGGGTCCGGGCATAGTTGCTCATTTCTCCTCCGTTTCGTGCCGAAGCTCTGCGTTTTTACCCCCGAAGCCACCCGAAGCCCCGGTAATATTCCCGAGTCCCGAAGCAAGTCCCGAGATCCCGAAGATCCCGAGAAGTGCGGTTTCCGAGCCGAAGCTCTGCCCGCGAGAAGTTCAATTTTTTGTATAGATCTTCCAGATCTGCTGAGGATTACTACTTCTGCAAGCCGTAGTGCTGTCCGATCATCTTCTGATCAAGTGAGTGTGTATTTACTTTTTCTAACGCATAATTATAAAGTATTTTATACGAAATACGTGTTATGTGTATAGTTTTGTTGTTATGTATGTGAATGTATATTCACTCTCTTCAATCTCATAGATCTGATTTGTTTTCTATGAAATACGTGTTATGTGGGTATGCCTCATCTGTTATGTGAAATATGTATTGGATGAAAATGCTATACATGTTTTAAACTATGTATAAAAATATATATTTTATCTACTAATATGTTGGGTAGAACATGGGTAGATAGTTGGTGTGTAATAAACAGATGAGAGGCCTCGATGTTGTTGTTGTCGACCTAGTTATTCAGCGGAGTATGGATAACGACTACAGACTCCTTCTAGACAGTCTCGTGGAACGCTAGCAGGTTCATAACCTGTAGGTGTTGTGAACGATGTGTTCACTGATGTACTCTATCCCCCTTATGGTTGCCTTTAGGATATCTATTGTTGAGGAAACCCCTTAGCAGTAACGTCCGTCTCGATGAAAATCCTAGATTAGGTCCCTTGAGATAGATGTTGTTTTAGGGACGTAAAGTGAGGATAACAGGAATGAGTAATCGGGATAGTGATTGGTTGGTGAAATTAAATATAATTTATTTGTTGTGGGTTGAAAAACCTATATGCTCACCAGGCTCCCAAGCGTGACCCACTCAGTTTTATTTGTATTATAGGAAGTGGCGCAAGGGTGTAAGATGGATGAACCATCAAGATTGTTTCGTTTACAAGTCTGTATATGTATATATTTGTTGAATAACTTGTAATGTTATCGTTTATGCTTATTGGTCTGTATCGGAACATGACACCCCGAGTTTTGATTATATAATGAAAAATACATTTCTTTTATGAAATGTTTTGGTAAACGTTGTTTTATCCAGTTTTGTTTTTGGGAACAAATTCCGCAACTCTTTCAAATCAAAAGGATTTACTCTGAAATTATTTTAGAAGCATAAATGAAAATCGGTCTTTTCTGGTCGTGATTTTGGGGATGTCACACTGAAAATGATTATCTCATTCTTATTATTTTTTTTTCTCAATTGAACTCTCATCTCTCTCTCTCTTTATATATATATATATATATATATATATATATATATATATATATATATATATATATATATATAGGGTTACGTTTATGTGAGATAACCTAATTTTGTTAGATAGTGAAACACAATCATAGCCACTCATTTAATAGATAAAAATATATATATATATATTTAAAATACAAAATAATTGAAAATTTTTGAAATTTTTTTTTTCAAATATTATTTTCGAAATTTATATTTTCCAAAAAAAATTAAAAAAAAAACCAAAAAAATAAAAAAAAAAGTTTTTTACATATTCTAGTAGAATTATATATATATCTGACAAACTTAATAGAATATTCTACCATTCTAAAAATCACATTAGAATATTTAGAGTATAACATTGTATTACAATATTTCACTTATTTAAAAAAAAAACGGTAATTTTTTTATTTAGTTTTTTATTTTTTTAGGTAATTAATGTTTCGAAAATAATAATTAAAAAAAAAGAATTATTGGATTTTTCTTTTTAATTCAAAATTTAAAATTATTTTTAAATTTGGTTTCACGGTGTCATATATATATATATATATATATATATATATATATATATATATATATATATATATATATATATATATATATATATATATATATATACACTAAAGACAAACATATATGACATGTAATAGCAACTATATACTATTCAATAAACCTAATATTAAGCCTACATAACCTCTTATCTAAAGTCATTGGCTCTAAAAAAGAAAATCCATACATGTCTAACTTGAATTGATCATTCCATTTCCTGCTTGGATGACCTCTTATAAATAAATATTCATTTCCTTAATGTTAAAAAAGGTTTGTCAATCAAATAAACCTTCCTCGCAAAGGCAATGCCATGAAATAATCCGTATTTGATTTTTCCTCACTACTAATAATCCCACATAAAATTGCCATTGTAGCTTAGACAACTCCCTATGCACAATCATATTGATCATGGTCAATGTCCCCTTATTATTTTAAAAATCAATATGCTACCCACTATCTCTTAATCTCCTCACCATCCACTACATTGTTATCCTTATTCTAACTAACTTTACTTATCTTTGTTGATCTTATGCGAACGATTGTAAAGTGTGGAATATGAACAGTTATGATATTTAAGAGTAATATGGTGAATCAAATGATAATATATAGATAAAAAAAATATATAGATAAAAAGAGAGTTAAGATATTACATGTAGCAAAAGTAGTGTCGGAGTGAATCCTCATTCATACTACCTTTCTATACCATGATTAAATAATTAAGGAGGTGCATTGATTTATAGCCTAGCTTCCTTCACTATGGAGTTGCGGAGCTAGAAATTTTGATAAAAGAACATAGACTATGTTGGGTACTACATCACCCTAAACAATTTTTTAGAGTGTTGTAGTACGTGCATCGCCCCATATAGCTTCGTCACTGTTTTTATATGAGAGAAAGCAATATACATCTCATAGTTATATAGCATTTCATGCTCTAATAATTTCTTCCTAATCCATGAACTTGGTTATACACACCTTTCTTGCTTCATGTTTGGCCTTTTTGTATCTATCTTGTAGCATGTCTCTCTCATCGTTCTCAATACACTCTATAAACTATTTAAAGTAAGTTGGTTTAACCTTACTCTTTATATATTTTCATATTATTCTTGCTCCTAAATTATGTAAAACTAGGTTAATATCTTCGTAGAATATATATATATATATATATATATATATATATATATATATATATATATATATATATATATATATATATATATATATATATATATATATATATATATAAAGGTTCAGGTTCATTTGAGACCATTCTAATTTTGTGAGACCGTGAGACCAAATCTAAAAATAATTTTAAAATGCAGAATAAATGGAAAAATCCAAAAATTCTTTTTTTAAATATTATTTTTGGAACTTGAATTAACTAAAAAAAATATAAAAATAAATAAAAATAAATAAAAAAAATTCCGTTTTTTTTTTTTGAAAAATACGTGAAATATTCTAAATAGAATATTACACTGACATATTCTAAAAAATAATTTTAAAATGCAAACTAAATGGAAAAATCTAAAAATTCTTCTTTTAAATATTATTTTCGGAACTTGAATTAACTAAAAAAAATTAAAAAAAAAATCTATTTTTTTTTGAAAAATACGTGAAATATTCTAAAAATAATTTTAAAATGCAAAATAAATGAAATAAATCAAAAATTCTTTTTTTAATTATTATTTTCGGAACATGAATTAACTAAAAAAAAATAAAAAAATTTAAAAAAAAATTAAAAAAAAATAAAAAAATGCGTCTCACGGTCTCACAAAATATAGGTGGTCTCAAATAAACTTAACTCTCTCTCTCTCTCTCTATATATATATATATATATATATATATATATATATATATATATATATATATATATATATATATATATATATATATATATATATATATATTCTACGAAGATATTAACCTAGTTTTACATAATTTAGGAGCGAGAATAATATGGAAATATATAAAAAGTAAAGTTAAACCAACTTACTTTAACTAGTTTATAGTATATATATAGTAAATTATTTCGGTGTCATGAATTACGAAATACTACTTTTCTTTTATTAGTTTTATATATAATATTTTTAATATACACTAACTACATCATATTAATTGTGTTTATGGGGATACGCATGAAAAAAAATTAATTTAAAAATTCATTTGTTATTAGTTTTTAATTATTATTAAAACTCATTAGTTTAGATAACACTATCATCTCAACATACAACAAAAAACCTTGCTTTTAGCATCGACAAAAGTCGTATTGATTCTAGCTTTCGTCGTTTTTACTTTTAGCGACGACATGTAGTCCCCAAAACGCCATAGCAATTAACTCGTAGCTAATAGTCGTTCGTCGTCGCAAATGTCGTTGTCTCTAATACATATCGTCTCTAATACTCCTGTGTCGTCTCTAATGCCATCATCTCTATTTATATTCCGATGACCGGACAAAGTTTTTCCGACAAAGCTTGTCGGAGTTATGTGTCGTCGCAATTAGTCAACGTCGTCTCTAAAGGTGTCGTTGCTATTATTTTTTTTTTTGAGAAAAAACTTATTTTTAATGATATTATAGTTTATATCATAAAACACAGATTTGATAAAAATAAATAGATAATACATAAAACATCAAACATACAAAATTACATATCTAATAAATCCTACATAAATATCTAATATATAATCCATAAACTATCTAATAAATCCAAAATAACATCGTTCATAACATAAAACAAAAAATACTATGTTTCTTCGTCTTCGTCTTCGTCTTCCCCATCATTGTTTTCCTCGTTGCTGACTTGGTTTTTAAAGGAGCAGATAATGTCTCCAATGGCCGTCACAAATATCGGGTTTTGAAGAAAAGTATTCACATCAACATCCTACAATTAAGTCACAAACACATTAAGTCATTAACAATTCAAAACAGTATCATACCATCAAAGCACCAAATGAATTAATTCGTTAACAATTTAAGTCACAAGTACCTGTGTTGGTTGCGGTGTTTGTGACTGTGACTGCCATTAGGATGAATCATTTATACCCGCAGTTGAAGAAGCTTTAGGCCCAATGCCTCTCACATGCCCCCTTCGTGTACCCAACACCTTCTCAAGTATTGCGATTCAATCAATAGTGTCTAGATCGCCACCAGAGTTGGCTATATAATAAGTCTGTAAAGCAAACTCAGCAACTAAGGCATTCTGTAATTCACAAAGATTGTTAATATACTTTAAAACTAACACAAAAAAAAAAACAACAATCAACTACGAGAATTTGAAGTAATAATAACTTACATATTGGTCTTCAACCAAATGATCAACAAATTCCCCTTTTTTATTCACATGCGTACGATGAAATACTTCAAGTCTATTCAAATTTCGTTTAACATTACAAAATATGTTATATTTGAATAAACACTAAAAAAATGGTCTAACTGAATAAGCATTATTGTAACTTACTTTCTTGAAACAAGCACTACCATAGCTGCACATCCCTCCACGATTCTTCACTACTTGCTTCTTCTGGCATTCTTTGTTTCCAGCGGATTGTTTTTGATGTTTGTCTGTTAAGAAATGGTTAATAGTAGCATTTCAACGCTACCGATCCATACCTGTAGGGGCTACAGCCCTTGCTGCCTCCACATCCCCTGCAAAATCAATCAAACGGTTTTTTGCAATATTTTTGCGGCCTCTATACCGCGCACATATCCGATTGTTCAGTAACACCCAATAAGTTGGAGCCATGGGATGATTTGTAATCGCTCCAAAATCAAACCATGTCTACAAAAAAGAAATAGAGAAGTTAAAAATAAATCAAATTAAACAATATTAAATATATAACTTTATAAATAATTTACCGAAAGATATTGGAACATGCCAACCCTCTCGGCTTCAGAAACATCAGTCCATGTGTCCTTATCAAAACCGATGTCCCGCCACATATAGGTCCCAACTTCTCGAACGAAACATTCATACACATCCCCAATCGGCATGTTAATATTTATGTCGGATATTAGCTTCAAAGGTCGTTCACCATTAGCTTTAAATAGTTTGTGCATTTTTTTTATTTACCACCATGGCTCTTCGTCTCGGAGGCATCACTGCAAAAAAAAAATATTAGTCAATAATTTTTTATATACAAATAATATAAAATACAATGAATTAGAATAAATTTTAATTACCATCGTTCTGGTGATCACCAAAACCTCCACCGAACGGATGTGGTGGCTCGTCACCATCGTCGCCTCCATTGCTCATCACAACAGCATGAGATGGAGCAATGCAATAAAAAAATGACATCCTTAAAAATTATAACACAATATGAATATATATATATATATATATATATATATATATATATATATATATATATATATATATATATAAAATATGATATGATTACAATAAATACAAACCTTATTTTACTAGTCAAATGTAAAGATTTTTTTAATCATTATCGCCCCTAGACACTTCGGTGTCTGCTGACACATCACTATTATAATCAGAATCTTCCTCATCATGATCAGTCTCGCAATCAGACACATTATTGATGATACTCGTTGGTGTGTCAACGTTAATATCATCTTCAATCGATTGAAAATTTTGAAAGTACTAGCTAAATTCGATTGAGAGAGTGAAATTAGAAGAAACATTACTAAGAACAAGATTGGTTGAATTAGTGTCGACATTTTCAATGAGATCATGGTCGACATCGTTCATCGGTAGATCCCAAATTCTTCCATGATTAACATTTTCAACAACCCACCATTGATTGTATTTTTCGTCACTTCGAGAAGGTTCTTAGATGTAAAATAGTTACTTGGTGTGACAATCGTCAATCTTGAGTCAAGTCAAATCATCAAGTCAAGACCGGTCAACTCGATTAAACCTTGTGTATTAGGGTTTGTGTTATGTTTATACTGTATAACTTGCTATATTAATGGGAAAACATCACTTGAGAAAAGTCTTGTGTTAAAAATTTCCTAAACCCTAATTCTAATCAATGAACTAGAACGATAAAACAATGTTGTATACTCATCGGGAGTGTGTAAGATCCTTAAACAAGGCTTAACAGGGTTCACGAACCATACATTTCGATGCCGGACGCTCACAACTATCCCACATGAAACCTCTCTCAATCGTTTCCACACTATCTCTCTCTCTATGTCAAACCTCTCCCAAATCTCTCCAAGTATGCGAAATCTCTCTCAAATATCTCTCTGTATTAGAAATCTCTCCAAGAATGTCAAATCTTTCCCAAATCCCTCTAAGTATGTGAAAACTCTCGCAAATATCTCTTTGTATGAGAAATCTCTCCAAGAATGTCAAATCTCTCCCAAATCTCTCCAAGTATGCGAAATCTCTCTCAAATATCTCTCTGTATTAGAAATCTCTCCAAGAATGTCAAATCTCTCCCAAATCCCTCTAAGTATGTGAAAACTCTCGCAAATATCTCTTTGTATGAGAAATCTCTCCAAGAATGTCAAATCTCTCCCAAATCTCTCCAAGTATGCGAAATCTCTCCCGAATCTCTCTCAAATAGTTCCCGTAACTTTTTAGAATCATTCGGGTCATTCCGACGCTTAACCGTGTCAAAAACAGCTTAAAACGGGGTAAAGACGAGAAAAATAGACATTAGGAACCGAAACCAAGAGAGAAGCTTCTTAGGACCCGAAGGTCCTCTTAGGGACTGAGAGCAAGAGGAGCCGAACCGAACCCTCCTGATGCCGAACCGAACCCTCCTGAGCTGAACCGAACCCTCTTGAGCCGAACCCGAAAGTACTGTTCACCACTAACCGAAACCGAACCCTGCTCAAGAGGAACCGAACCGAAGGTACTGTTCACCAACCGAACCGAAGGTACTGTTCACTACTGTTCACTACAGTACGTTCGGTTCTTACATTCTCGCCTCTTATTCCCGAACCGAACCCCACCCTTGCTACTGACCCTTCGGACCGAACCCTCGCCCATCGCTTCTCGCGTCTGACTCGCCCCCTTTCGTTTCCCTCTGTTCGTTTCCGGCTACAGTCCTCAGCGTGGACCGGGTCTCGGCCTAGGACCGAACCTCGGCCTAGGACCGAGAGGTCTCGCTGGGAACTCATTTTCTCCCGGTTTTCGCGTAGTTTTGCGTTTAAGGCCCGTTTTTAATTATTTTAACGTGGGAATTTCACCCAAAATCATATTTTAACATAATAAACCCTAAATATTCACAATTTAATCATATTTTCATAAAAATCTTTATTTAAATAATGAAAGCAAGTGGGTAAAGTACAAAGAGGTGGAGTGTTGACTTTGCTTTACCTTATAACACAAGCAACCACTCCCACACCCACTCTATGACCAGCCACACCTCCCCACCTTACCTAGGTCACATCAATGTCTTTTCCACTCAATTATCCCTCTTTCCCACGTTTTTGAGTGCTGAATATTCATCCTCTCTCCTCACTTCTCTCATTTGCTCTCATTTCACAAGAAGATCAAACTCTTTCCTCTCTCACTTTCTCTCTCTAGAAATTCGAGATTCAAGGGCTGATCTTGAGTTTTTCCTCCACATTTGGTAAGCATAATCCATTCTCTTTATGATTATCTCAATTATTTCCACTCAAATCATGGATATCTTAGACAAACTCTCTCATAATTGTGTTAGATCTTCGAATCTTCAAGTGATTCTTCAAGTGTTCTTGGGTTGAACACTTATCTTCTTCAACACTTACCTACTGAAATCACTTAAGGTGAGTTCATACCCCTACATTTTCATGTTTTCTCAAGTTTTCAGGGGGGAATACAAGTTAAAACACTAAGAACATAATTAAATTTTCTAACAGCCTTCATCAGAAAAGTTCAACTCCATTCACGGACTGTTTTGGGCATCTTAAACATTTTTGTTTTCAAAACTGTACAAGGTGCAAATAGTTCAAGTTTGTAGCTTTAAAATGACTACTTGCACATCTCCATACGATTTTTCTACAATTTATGGTGATTTTTACAAAACTGCCTATCATTTCAAACAACAATCCGGACCAGTCTGTGATTATGGACATTTTCACCCAAGTTGGAGGTCATTAAAAATCGTGATAAAAATTATGAGTAAACTAGACACATTTTGTGAACTCTCAGAATTTACGGATCTAGTTTTCGACTTCGTATGATTTTTCTATGATTTTTACAAAACTGGGCAGAATTGCTAAAGTTAGCCAACAGCATGTAAATATCATAACACTTTGTAATATGTTGAGCAAAGTGTATAATCATAAGTTCTAATATTTGAATGTGTTTCCTTGTTAGTTTATCATTGTGAACTGAAACTAAGTTATTCATATTAAATATTATTCATTCATTTAGAACACGTATTATGTAACTATAAAAAGTATAGTTGGATAAATTCACAACACTAATACATTTCCATAAAAAGAATTCATACATATTATATACATTTTAGATAAACTATAATAGGTATAGTTTATGATACATCACTCAACACACTCGTACAAAAAGGGTACATTCATACAAGAAAGATTTATATCCACACACATTTCACGTAAACTTGTTAACCTATGTTGTGAGACTCTCTCTCCCCGTACGTCCGAGTGCGGGATATAATTCCTGGTAGTTATAATCAAAATCTCCTTGAGGGAGAACGTGATACTTGTATATAGATCTATATTGGGTTTGACACCCCACACCTTGCTGCTAGCTACAGGGACCTGCAGGTCTACGGGTGACAAATGTCATTTCATTTTCGCGACGCCTGAGAAACGTTGTGGCAGGTTCACATAGTCACAGTATGATTATAGCGACTCACCTAGGGAGATAACAATTCATAAAGTTTACGGGGTTTCATAAAACCGAAGTAGGTTTTAGGTTGATAAAGAAATTTACTTCCATATCATTTTAAACTCACGACATTTCTACTAAGAAATGATGATTTCTTATACATTTTAGTCTTTGGTTATAAGGCTACATTTTTTTCGGATTTCAAGGAAAATATCGGATTTTTCTGACACAAACGCGACATTTACATGTGATAGACTTCTACTAAGTTTATTAATAAAAGCTTATGAACTCACCAACCTTTGTGTTGACACTTTTCAAACAACTCGTATTCTCAGGAAAACACTAAACAGGTAATCAAGTGCTTTTGAGGATGGGACGTTAAGACGTCAAACTTTTCATATTTTGTCAACATATTGTAATTGATTTTGAAACATGTAATTCATACAAGTGATGTAACTTTTTCAATTATATATATGTTGGTTGTGTTTGCTTAAATTACTATTGAAATTGTGGTTATGATACTATACATGAAGTCCTCCACCCCCGGACGTTTCCGCCATCCTTGGTTTGGGGTGTGACAGATTGGTATCAGAGCACGGTTATATAGCGAATTAAGTATGTCAAACCACATAAGATATACAAACTATAAACACATTTGGGACTAAAGGTCTCTGATTCTTAAAATGCTTTAACGAGTTGTACTTTTAGAAAACAAATAATTTCTTGTTTTAAAGTATACTTACATGCATTCTATACTAGTATGGTGTCATATCTTAGGAGAACATAAATTAAAAGAGGAGGAGTCGAACATTATTAATACGCCTTAGCATGTGTAATCAGTTCTGGGAGGGATATAGCCTGATCAACTATATCCGTCCAAGAAGTAACTTACGCACACTAAGGAATAGTCGTAATGAGCGACAAATCTGAAAACCTAATTACACTCCATAAAGAACACGCTAAGAACCAAATATAAACATTTAAAAATACTATAGAGTATTTGTACGTTTCTATAGTGCCCGATTATTATTTTCCGATATGTGCTTCTTAACCCCATTTCTCGTGCAGACGACATGGCAGGATTTCACATACCCGGGGACCCCTATTTTCCCAATCAGGGAAACGCGGGATGGATCGATGATGATCCTGAGGAGGATCCCGAGAGGATCCGAGGAGGATCGAGAGGATCCCGAGAGGATCCCGAAGAGGATCCCGAGGAGGAGCTCGAGGAAGACGAACAAGAAGAAGAAGAGGAAGACGACCAAGAAGAAAATGAAGAAGAAGAGGAAGACGACCAAGAAGAAAATGAAGACGAAGAGGAAGAAGAGGAAGGTGATGAGATAGTCATGTTTGGGAACGAAGCGGAGGAACCACCAGAAGTATTCAACCCTCCCTACATCGCGAGGGTACCCGCGCACCGTTTTGGATACAACGGACCTGAACCCCCTTGGGTAACAACGATCGAAAGATGGAGCCGACAACAA